AAGATCTGTCTGGAACTCACTAGACGTATTGTAACCAAAAACCTGATAGGAACTTTGACCAGGAGGACTGACTTAGCTTCGTGGTGAAGGATAAAACCATTAAGAACGACCACTACACTTCGTCAGCCTCAACTTTGAATGAATGCATATGAGCATATTTATAGTACACTCGAATTATTCATTTCATCTTGAAAAAGATAGATTTTCTGAAAAGATAAGTTTAAAAGATATTTTCTAAAAATCAGTTTTCCGAAAATATATCTTTTTGTTAAGAATAAAAACTGTCAATAATAATAAGATAAACTTAGCATAAAATCAGATTTTATTCAAAACTTATCTTTTTGTTTAAAATACTTTTTAAACAATCTTATCTTTTTCCAAAAGGGATTTATTAGAAGATAAATATCTTTATTCAGTAAAACCAAATCCCTAAAAGATATGCACGTATAAGGTAAATATATATATCATTAAAACCGACTTTTAACGACGTTCATACTTAAGTTCCTATTAGGTTCCTGAACTCTGACAGTCTCTGAGTTCCTGACAAGTCAGTTACTCTAATTTCATTGACTGTTTGGAATTCACCTTGGTTCTATATAGACTTGTTCCAGACCGACTTTTATGTCCAACATACTTACATGAATCCTAGAGCAATATACTTCTATTTCTCTGTCTTCATGTTGCTTCTCTGAAACTCTTGTTCTGGAATCCTGTAGTCTTGATATATTCTGGATCTTAGGGTTTTCCCCAGCATTACACCGAAACCAGGTCGTTACAACCCGTTTTGAAGTTCCTGTTAAGAAACTTCTGGAAGTTCCATTTCTGGAACTCTTCTTCTAAATTTACTTGTATCCTCATGGATCCTCTAAAGTTCCTCTGTTTCAATTCCTACTTCAGCCCTCAACGCTTACTGAACCTGCAAACATCACAACACTAGAAAATCCTTATTAAATGGAAGTTTGCTCAATTCTTAACATCATCATCAAAACCTCATAAGGATCAACAAGTTGTCCCTTTTTGATGATGACGAACTGAGCAAACTTCTGAGAATAACAAAGTAAAACAGAAGGTTAGTTTTTTATTTATAAAAACAATAAAGAAAACTAAACTAAATTAAAAGACTCCTACACATACATAACCTATATATGTATAGGATACTTACCTTATGAAGCTAACATATGTAAACACATGTTTACATAGTTACCTTCATGGTCCCTTAGCCATCATCATGCTTATCAACCATAACACTTATCGTTGTTCTTGTTCCTCTATTGCTTATCCTATATTGCTCAAGTTCCTTACATATATACCTGTCATTACTCAGGTTCCTTGTATCCTGTTCCAAGCATAATTTGCTTTTTCTATGCACAACTTAACATACACGTTAGATAGATAATCATCATTAGTTTATAATCATCAAAACCTAATTGCTCAACAACGTAGTACTATGTATTTACTTTGTATATTATAATTATACTTTGTATTGTCTAATATATATGACCTAAAGCTCTCATATATTTATATGTCTAAAATCTCTAAATATTACAGTACAATTTTTGTAAAACGGAGCAAGTATTACTATAAGACATTATATGTAAGAATGACGTATTAATATTATTTCCAATCGAAAGGAGAGTAATAAAATAGTACGAGTACTTCGTATTTCATAATACAATGTAATATACTCCGTACTCCATATACTTAGTTCACCAAGGATCAAAGTAAATGCAATAGCTTTATACTTTTAAAAATGACTTTTTGATAATTAATATTGATCTATATATGTATCAAGAAATCCGGCGCCTAACGCAAACATTTATTTCATCTTAATCTTCATCACTATCAATCTTAGTAACAGAATAGTAATTATAGTTGTTGGCATGTCTATTTTTATTAATTAGCTGATAATCTCAGGAAGTGAGGAATACGACGTTTTTTCACAAAATTAGTCTGGCTAAAATACATATTTTCACGACACATCACCCCCTCTTTAAAACGACATGAAACCACATTATATGATGTAAATGACTTACTAATTTACAGTCAAAATGTACTTATATTTTAATTTCTGAAATCATTATTCCTATAATCATACTTTTAGCAACATAAAAAAACAATCGAAAATGATAAAAAAAAATAAAATGGTAGCAATAATAAAGGTGAAGTACAAAGTATTTAAGTATGTGTAATATGATAAAGCAATGTTTAATGTAACTCACAAAAGTGATCTTATAATGGTTAGGCGGTGTTACACAAATGTTTCACATTGTTTTTAAGGACTAAATAATCAAGTTAACGTAGGTTAATGATGTAGTCCTTAAACAATACTTTAAACAAGTTTGTTAAGAAACAAAACTGTATGTTCTCTCACATTGGCAACCAAACCAAACCATTGTCAAGGCCAATCATCAATTATTCTTATATATACACACGTATTTTTAGATACATCCAATCAAATTGGAATGGAAAATATATATGTATACCCCAAAAATATACTCCCTGATTTATAATTAGAATAATTTAACTATAATGCATTGCCCTCAAGCCTCGGGCAATAATGCTAAAGACAAACAAGACGATTAATTAGCTTCAACAGTATTACTTATATAACCTACTAGCTTAGCTCTATTAAAGTACGGAGTATTAATTAGTCACTCTAATTGCATTTTAATATATAGGAGTCCCGCAATCCTACCTTAAAATGCTTGCTTATTTTATAACTTTATTTAGTAACTCAAGTAGTCATCATGTATATATATTAATATATATAAATATATGTTTTTGGTGCTAACATAGTAACGTATGTATAATATTAATATACGAAGTATGTAAATATATATACGTACCATATTTAATTAATGTCCATCATTTGCTCTTGAGTGATATAGTTTGTAGGTCCATGAATTTATTCAAGACACCTACTTTTTACGTCTATATATTATATATTACAACATTTTCGGTGCTTTGAAATTTCGAAATTTATCAACTACAATTGGAAATTTAGTTTATAATAATATAATGTTGTACTAGTACGCCTTACCATGATAAATGTTGCATAAATTAGTTAGAATTAATTTATGCGACAAGCAATCCGTTACGAATTACTACATTTACTAATACTAGTTACCTCGTCATGTTTTAGGGGTTCCAATTTTAGGCCAGTATTAACGAGAATTGTCCTTGTAGTACTCTAAACACACAAAAACAAAAAAACAAACACATTTTTTTTAACTAACTTGAATATGTCGAACAAAATTGTTGTATGACTGACACAAAAAAAATAATTTGTTACAAAAAATTAAATTATTGTGTATGTATAATATCCAGTGCATTTTCTGTGCGGCTGGCCACACGGTATGATCAGCTGACACACACTAAAACAATGACCAGGTAACTCCTGACCGACCGAGTAATCCCTGAATAAGTAACCCCTGATCCTAAGTAACCCCTGAATAAGTAAACTCGGCCGGTGTGACAAACCATATATAAAACTTTGTGTACAATATCACATGGAAAAAAAGCACGGAAAAAACATAAAACTTAAACTTAAGTAAACTCTATTCCTCGCCGCCTCTTCTCCCTTTTCTCTCAATCTTCTTATATCTTCTTCTAGGCCAGTTTCATTTTTTTTTAGCTGTTTAGGTTGAATTAGTCTTTGAAAATTAAATTATTTCCAACCCTAAATCTTTAATTCAATTGAGTCCTGTCATCAACTCTATATGTAATCAAAACATCAGCATCTCAAGTTTGAAGCGGTGGAGTATAAGTTGTGCGGAAAATGTAGAAAAGTTATTATTTTAATGCAAAAGTTATGCTCCTTCCTCTAAATCTCTGGTTTAGAAATCTATATCATTATTGTGGATGCCGTATGCATAATTATTAATGAAATTATCCTTCTAATAAAAATAAAGTAAACTCTATTAATCCTATATTGTTACCAATCCTAACATGCCTAGAGAAAATTACCAACACATAAATTAAATTATAGAAGTATATGATCATATTATCGGTTGATCGATCACAATAATTTATTTCTTCCTGAACACTATGACTACTATTATAATATCATAGTGATAGAATATACGAAAGATATTCTAGTTATTTTGTTATACCTAGGAGATATTTTTTGTGAATATTTGTAATTATCTTTTGAGATTTCCTAACATGATTAGGACTCATCTTTGTAACCCTTTATATACGTATTAATGGAATACACTCCAATATGAGGAGTTTCACAAAATCTAACATGGTATCACAGCCTAGGTTTTGATCCAGCTTCCGCAATTTTTTACTTTTTTTTTTTTCTTTTTTTTTTTCCCTCCCTTTATCACGTTCTTTACATTGCCTGCTTTCTTGAATAACGCACAACAGCCATGACCAAAGATGGAGATGGAGATGAATCGGAGGTAATCCTCCTTCCTCTGAGTTTCACCCCGCCCTCGGCATGAATAACATCAGGAACGCTATTTCACTCATACTTGATCGAGAAAAAGTCCAATATTCTAATTGGGTTGAACTATTCGAATGTCATGCTCATGCGTTCGGTGTCTTGGATCACATTGACCCCAAGACTAAAAGACCTTCAGATATTTCTGATTCTTTATGGAAGCGGCTTGACTAGGTTGTAAAGAACTGGATTAATGGCACGATCTCTACGGATCTTCTTCAAACCATCTTGTGCAAAGGTGACACGGCACAACAGATTTGGGACAAACTCAAACAAATCTTTCAGGATAACAAGGCCATTAGAGTAATGTATCTTGAAAATCAATTCAACCTGTTGCATCTTTTGAATTTCCCTAATTTTTCTTCATATTGTAGTGAATTGAAGAACTTGAAAGATCAATTAGCCAATATTGATCAACCCGTGTCGGAACAAAAGTTGGTGATTCGATTAGTGTCGGGTCTTGTTAATACATTTTGATACCATAGCTGCCATGATCCAACAAACGGAACCACTTCCGTCATTCAAAACAGCTTGATCGCGGGCTCGCGGCTTCTTCATGAGGAGTCTAGACGAGCCAATGACACTAGTTCTCCGCCCTCATCGTTTGTGGCACAATCCAGCACCCCTACACCATCTAACCAAGCAGCGCCACAACAGTCTTAAACGGCTCAGCAGTCTGGTCGCGGTGGTGGACCAGGTGGCAGAGGTCGAGGGCAAGGACCAAAGCAAGGATAGGGCAAAGGTCGTAGTCGCGGCAGTCCTCAGCAGCAGTCGCAACAACAGCAACAATAGAACCCAACCCAACAAAACTGGCCTGGACAGGCTCCGAATGGGCCGGCCCAGAATTGGACACCTCAGAGGGCACCGACACCTTTTCCTCAGCCACAACAGTGGGCTCTGCAAGTTAGGCCCAACTTTCAAATCCAACAAGGATTTCGTGCCCCTGCTGCATACTATGCTAGTCCAAGCCAGGCATATGCACCGTTTTCACAACCTTCTTATGCACCAAGTGGTTCCGAGTATGGTTCGACTTACACCCCAACGGAGCTCGGGAATGCTTTCGCAACAATGGGCTTACAAAATTATGACCCCTCTTGGTACATGGACTCCGCTGCAACGTCACACATGACTAACAATGCCGGTAATCTTCTTCCCCTTTTAAATTTAAGCACACATAATTATATTCAAGTGGGTAGCGGGCATCGCATTCCAATCACGGGTTATGGCAATTCTAGCATTACAAATAAATCCCTTCCCCTTTGTGATGTGTTTCTTGCTCCCCAAATTATTAAAAATTTAATTTTTGTTCGCAAATTTACCCGAGATAATTCTGTGTCCATAAAGTTTGATCCTAGTGGTTTTTCTGTGAAGGATCTTCAAACGGGAGAATTCTAGCCAGATGCAATAGTGCGAGGGACCTCTATCCAGTCACATCTTCTCCTTCTACGTGTCTAGCCACATCACTCACAGCTTTGTTGTCATCCACTTGGCATAATCGCTTAGGGCATCCCGGAGCACCCACTCTTAGCTATCTTAGGAGTAATAATTTGATTGATTGCAAAAAAAGAGCATGACTATAATTTTTGTGTAGGTTGTCAAGTAGGAAAACATGTTCGCTTGCCGTTTCATAGTTCTAATAGTATTACTTATTTTGCTTTTGACATTATTATATTCACGCCGATCTGATTTGTGGACTTCTCCTATTCGTAGTACTAAAGGTCACAAATATTATTTGGTCCTTTTAGATGATTTTACTCACTATGTGTGGACCATTCCTCTTGTGTATAAATCTCAAGTGTATCAACCCTTCCTTAATTTTCGACAATATGTCATTACTCAATTCGAACGCCCTATCAAGTCCTTCCAAAGTGACCATGGTCGATGTTCGAGAGTTCGACAATGACTCCTTTAAGCTTTTTTGTGTCAAAAATGGATTGGGTTTTCGTTTTTCTTATCCTCACACATCATCCCAAAACGGTAAAGACGAACAAATGATTCACACTATCAATAACACCAAGCGAACCTTTTTTTTCCATGTCTCCCTTCCACCGTCTTATTGGCATTACGCCGTTGAGACGACAACCTACTTCCTAAATATTTTGCCCATAAAAACACTCAATCAATGTACTCCAGCACAAGCTTTGTTTGGCATAATTCCGTCTTACACTCATCTTCGTGTCTTTGGGTGCATGTGCTTCCCCAATCTATCGGCTACGGCCAAACATAATCTAACACCCCGCTCTACTCCTTGTGTCTTCTTGGGTTATCCTTCCGAACATAGGGGATATAGGTGTTTGGATATTTCCACCAATAAAATCATAATTCCGCGTCATGTTGTCTTTGATGAAAACACACTTCCATTTCGAAATCTCACTCAATTCCGAAAATCAGATTATGATTTCCTTGGCACCGATGACACTTCTCTATTGTTCACCTACCAAAATTTGCTTCATACCCCTTTCTCATTTAATGAGCAAAGCCTACAGTCCACTCCACAATCAAGTTGTGGCACACATACCCACACCACAACAACACTGCGGAGCTCCCTGCCAGGCCCAGGCCCAGCGCACTCTGGCCAGCCAGCGGCCCAGGCAGAAACTGTGCAGCATCCAGCTAGCACAGGCCCAACAACTGCTAGCCCCAGCCCGGCCCACGCTGCACCCAGCCCGCATAATTCTAGCCCAGCTCCCTTGCTTTCATTGCACAACCATCAACACTCCTCAAGCCCAAAAACTTACACTCCTCCACCTCTTAGGGGTCACACTCCTATCACACCTACGAGTCCTCCACCATTCTCCCCACAAATGCAAACTCGGTCAAAACACGGTATTGTCAAACCAAACCCGAAATTTGGCCTTTCCGCAACTATACCTGCTCAAGCCTTGACTCGCTCCCCTCTTCCTAAAAATCACAGACATGCCCTTTCCGACCCAAATTGGAATGCTGCGATGCGTGATGAATGTAGTGCTTTAATTGAAACGGGGACATGAGACTTGGTCCCAAGGCATGCGGGGGTGAACATTGTTAATTGCATGTGGTTATTTTGTCATAAATTAAATGCTAATGGTGATCTTGAAAGACACAAGGCTCGTTTGGTTTGTAATGGTAAATCGCAGGTTGAAGGTGTTGATTGTGACGAAACTTTTAGTCCGGTGGTAAAACCGGCTACCATTTGTACTGTGTTGAGTTTGGCTATGGCTTGTTAGTGGTCTATTCACCAACTTGATGTAAAAAATGCCTTTTTACATGGTAACTTGAATTAGTGCGTGTATATGCATCAACCCCCCGGATTTGTCGATAAGAGATATCTAGGGTATGTTTGCAGGCTCCGCAAGGCGCTTTACGGCCTTAAACAAGCTCCAAGGGCTTTGTATCAGTGATTTGCTAACTTTCTTTTGTAGATGGGGTTGTCATTGCTAAAAGTGATAATTCTATATTCATATTCCAGCATGGGAATGATATTAGCATACTTGCTATTATATGTTGATGATATTGTGTTGGTTACTTCTTCAAATCAGCTACGTGAGCGTATCATCTCTCACTTACGTACAAGATTTCCAATGACAGATTTAGGTCCTCTGATTTTTTTTTGGGAATTGCAGTTACTCGTACTCCATCATATCTGTTTTTATCTCAGCAAAAATATGCACAGGAAATTTTAGAGCGTGAAGGTATCACTACTAGAAATAGGCCGATTTCCGACGGACACTTAATTCCGTCGGAAACGTCAGAAATTCCGATGGATTTTTATTCCGTCGGAACTTTCCGACGGAATTAAAATCCGTTGAAATATAAGGGGTTTCCGACGGAATATTCCGTTGGAAAATTACTTTTCCGGCGGAATTATAATCCGTCGGAACATTTCGACGGAATTAAAACCCGTCGGAAGATACCGACGGAATATTCCGTCGGAAATAAAGTAACTATTAAAAAAAAAAACCTAAAAAAAACTCTCCCTCTTTCTCTCTAATGCGCCTCTCTTTCTCTCTCCTCCCTCATTTCTCTTTCTCTCTCCTCTCCTCCCTCATTTCTTTGTGCGCCTCGTCCTCCCTCATTTCTCTTTCTCTCTCTTCTCTTTCCTCTTCTCTTTCCCCTTCTCTTTCCATCAACGAACAACCTTGTCTTTAATTCGATCTCCCTCCTCTCATGTTAGTTCGAAAATCACAAAAATTCAATGTGTTTGATCTTGTTTTTTTTGGGCGAAATTAATAAAATAAGGGTTTCGATCTCGGCACATTCATCATCAACAACAACAACAACGGCGCATTCATCAACAACTACGGCGGTAATTGTAATTTTGATCTCGTTTTTTTGGGCGAAATTTAATGTAGATCTAGTTTAAAATTAAGTTAGATTGTAGATTAATTTAGTTGTTTATGTAATTGTAATTTTGATTATAAATTTGATTAGATAATTGTATTTTCTTTAATTTTTAATGTATAATTGTCGGTTTTTTTTATAATTTTTTTCATGAAATTCTAATTAAATATGTAAATCTACTGGTTGTGATTTGTTTGTGTTGAATTTTTCGGATTTTTTGGCTTAATTTCGTAATTTGTTTCCATTTTTTTTACGAATTTAGTGAGTGTTTTCGTGTTTGTTTTTATTTTTTGGGTGAACGGTGGTGGGACTGAAGTGGTGGGGCTGGTGGGAGTGGCGTTGGTTAAGGGGAGGGTGGGGGGTCTGCGTGGGTCAGTGTGTGGGGGGATGGGTGGTGGTCCTGGTCTGTGGGGTGGGTGGTGTAGGGTGGGTGAGGTAGGTTGTCTTCGTGAGTGTCTAGGTGGGGTTAGGTTTCTGGGTGTGGGAAAATGGGTGGTGGGTGGTGTGGGGTGGTGTGGGGTGGTGTGGGCTGGGGGCGGGGTAGATCTGGGTGGGGAAAGTGGGTGGTGTGGGCTGGTGGTAAGGGGGGCTGATGGTGGTGGGTAGGGGGATAAGTCAGGGGGTGAGCTGGTGGTGGGGGTGGTAGGTTTCGCTTTTTTTTTTTATTAAATTTTCCGACGGATTTAAATTCCGTCGGAAATTTCCAACGGACTTTCCGGTACCGGAAAAACCTCTTCCAACGAAAAAATTCCGTCGGAATAGTGTTTTCCGACGGAATTTCCGACGAAAATGGCCGTTTTTTCCGACGAAGTGATCTCCGACAACGCGTTCCGACGGTATTCCATCGGAAACAGCCTTTTCCGACGGAATTATAGGGTGTACCGACGGAATTTTTCCGTCGTAAATAAGGTGTTTTCTAGTAGTGTATGGACAGTTGTAAACTTGCAGTGACTCCAGTGGATACTCAATCCAAACTTAGTGCAGAAACTGGACCTAAATTTCATGATCCAACACTTTATCGCAGTCTTGCAGGTGCTTTACAGTACCTCGCTTTTACTCGCCCTGATATAGCTTATGCAGTTCAGCAGGTTTGTCTATTCATGCAAGATCCTAGAGAGGCTCACTTTGATGCATTGAAACGCATCCTACGATACATTCAGGGTACCATTGATCACAGGTTACATTTATATCCTTCATCTCCTACAAACTTGATCACTTATATTGATGTTGATTGGGGCGGGTGCTCGGACACTCATCAGTCGACCTCGAGTTATTGTTGCTTTCTAGGGGACAATATTTTTTGTTGGTCTTCAAAGCGTCAGCATACTCTTTCTAAATCATGTACAGAGGCAGAATACAGGGGCGTTGCAAATGTTATTGCTGAGACTTGTTGGCTTCGTAATCTTCTTTTGGAGTTACAATGTCCTCTTCGCAGGCTACTATTGTTTATTGTGATAATGTCAGTGCAATTTATTTATCTCATAATCCCGTACAGCACCAACGCACCAAGCACGTTGAAATGGATATTCACACTACAAGAAAACAGCTGAATTCCGACGGAATTTTTCTGTCGGAAACATCGAAAAATCCGTCGGAAAACAGTCTTCCGACGGAATTCCGTCGGAAAACAGTCTTCCGACGGAATTCCGTCGGAAACTGTCTCTCGGAATGCACTTTGTAGAAAATTCGACGTTTTCCGAGGGAAATTCCGTCGGAAGCCACTTTTCCGACGGAATACATTCTGTCGGAGCTGGTTTTGACTTTAATCGAAATTCCGTCGCAACTTTCCGACAGAATTTTCTGTCGGAGTTGAAGTGGATTCCGACGGAAAATTCCGTCAGAAGAGGTATATTCCGACGGAGATTTCCGTCGGAAACGGTATATTCCGACGGAAATTTCCGTCGGAAAATTCAATAAAAAAAATAAAAAAAAAGCCTCCACCACCCCCACACCAGCCTTAGCCACCTCCAACCCACCCAGACCACCCCACCCAAACCCTAACCCACCAGACCACCACAAATTACCCCATCTCCACCCAACCGTACCCACCCACCACCACCCCTCCTAACAACGTACTCACCCACCAACCCGTACCCACCCACCACCACCCCACCTAACACCGTCCTCACCCACCAACCCGTACCCACCCATCACCACCCCACCTAACACCGTCCTCACCCACCAACCCGTACCCACCCATCACCACCCCACCTAACACCGTCCTCACCCACCACCCCACCCACCACCCCACCCACCACCCATACGTCCTCACCCACCACCCCACCAACCGTCCTCACCCACCACCAGTACCCACCTAACACCATACCCACACCACCGTTAACCAAAAAAAAAAAGGAAAAATTAACACAAAAAATATCTAAACCAGGAGAGAGAATTAATTGATCAGAATTTCAGTAAAAAAAAAACGACAATTCACTATGATAATTACAAATTTCTAATAAATATGTAAACTAACATTACAATTACAAAAATAATTAACTATAATCATAAATGTTCAAAAAACAAAACAAGATCTACAATTTAACCTTAACTAAAACTAGATCTACAAAAAAACCTTGATATGCTCGCGACGGCGGCCGTTATTTCAGTGGTGTTGTTGTTGTGGAGACCTTAACAACCTCGCGCAGTGGTGTTGTTGGAAGGTGGTCGATTATTGCGGTTGATGTTGGTGGTTGTTGCGGTGGTGGCGTTGTAGGCGGTGGTGATGTTGGTGGTTTTGTTGTTGGTGTGAGAAGGAGAAGGAGAAGAGAGGAGAAGTGAGAAGGAGAAGAGAAGTGAGAAGGAGGAGAGGAATTCTCAGAGAGAAGAGGAAAATGGCGGAGGAAGGAGGAAAGAGGAGGAAAATGGCGGAGGAAAGAGGAAAATGGGGTTAGGGTTCCGTTTTCTTTTTTTTTTTTTTTTTTTATATTCAGTTTTTTTTTTTTTTTTTTTAAAGTCATAATTCCGTCGGAAATAAATAATCCGTCGGAAAGGTTTCCGACGGATATATTTTCCGCCGGAAATTGAATGTTCCGACGGAATATTCCGTCGGAAAGCCCACATATTCCGACGGACTTATATTACGTCGGAAGATTCCGACGGATTTCCTATGGAATAAAATTCCGTCGGATTATATATTTCTGGAGTTCAAATCCAGTCTTAGCGTACGACCTCCTCCTACTATGACTGCGGGGGTGTGATAGATATACAAAAGATATTCTAGTTATTTTATTTAGGAGATATTTTTTGTGAATATTTGTAATTATCTTTTGAGATTTCCTAACGTGATTAGGACTTGTAACCCTTTATAAGGGTATGCATTACCGAATTTGGAATTTAATTTTGATGTTTTGTAGAAATCTTAAGCCAGTTTATATCTACCGTTTAATAATTCATGGACTATGAAATCTTGTTAGAATATTTAAATATGATGCAATCAAGTACAATAAAAATAACAAAAGCTATATGCAAAAATAACAAGGCTAAATAAACGTTTTTTTAATGATATCAAGAACTATAATAGTAATGAATCTTATACTGCTAATATCCCTAAAGAGAACTACCGTTACATATTCAAATATGTGAATCACCACACTTGTTGAATTTCATTCTAAAGTTCCTAATAAACTTTTTATTGCATTACAAAAAAAAAAAAAAAAAAAAACAAAAAAAAAAAACGGAGTAATTTTAAATAAAACTACTTTAACGTTGTTTTCTTAAGCACTAGGAGGGGATGCAGCACCACCGGAGCATGCTTGATTGTAGATGCTCTTAACTAGGGGACTTGGGTCGTTTTCGAATAACGAACAACATTCAGCACTCAATGAACCTTGAGGATGATTAATAAGATAATTTCCCACGTCATCCTTGCAATCAATGCTAATAGGCAATGGTGGTAAATCATCAGGCAATGGTGGCAATGACCACTTCAATCCGTGGGGGATCAAGTTGCGGCCGTAGCGAGGTGGCTTAAGGTGTACTTGTGGGTGTGGGTGGGTGAGGGTGAGGGTGTAGGAACGCCTCCTGTTGTACTTCTTGGGCATAGTTTCCTCTTATGAAAAGAGCTAGTAAACCAATAATGAATATAATTGTCTTCATTGTTCTTTTTTTGTAGGGTTTTGGTTTTTGTTTTGGCTTGTTTTCTCAACAAAAGGTTTTAAAGGTTGATTTGTGTGGTTTTGAAACTGAGGTATAAAGAGGGTTTAAATAGTATTTTATCCAATTTATCGTATAAAATTGGACTCTCTAGGATTCTAGGACTTGGACTCTCTTTAGAATTGGTATTCGATTCAATCTCAAACTCTGATATGGAAAGTATTGTTGTTTGTTTTATGTCAAAAATCAGAATTTCTATCCCTTAAAAACTAACTACACCAACATTTACTTTAGAGTTTTATTTATATAGTAAAAGCACTAGAATATTCCTTTATTTATCACAAAAAAAATTAGAGATCTTGTTATTGTGTATCGTTTCTGTAGACTTGTGATATTATCAATTGCGTCAACAAAACTATACATACAATATAATCTGAAATCCTTACAAAAAATTACAATATTAAAAAACTAAAGAATAGATATCCTATTAAAAAGTGAATTTATTACTGCGTAATACAAATTACAAATTAGCTTTTAAGAGCAGTATACATACAAGCAGTTTGGTAACGTTGGTCATGGATTAATTAATTAATAATAATAATGATGCACTTTTGCATTTGAAAACATGATTAAGGAAAAGTGTCTACTATATAGAAACGGGAAAATATCTTATAATTGGCTTAATTATATTGTACTTTACGTGTATTTATAAAATATTACGCTAATAAATACATTTATAATTACGCTTTTTCATAATTCAATCTAATATTATGAATAATCTATTAAACCTATATCCCTCAAAAAAAAAAAAAAAAAGAAATCTATTAAACCTATATAATTTCTCACAAGAGGTATCAATGCAGCATGTGTGTGATGTGAACAAATTAATGTATCAATATGTCTACAATTTTGTATTATTATAATCAAATTAATTAAACTCAAGATTAGTTTTGATTGAACTTGTTTTGGGTTCAATTGGGTACAAAAAAGGTCAATGACTAGTTGAGTTAACAAGAAGGAGTCTAAAAGATTGAGTTACAACTTACGAGTCACCATGAGTTGGGCCAATAAAAGGTTGTGTCGAGTAATAAACGGTTTCAAGTTCTGAATTGTTCAAGTGCCAATTAGTGTTCGGATTGTTGTTGGGTCAAATTAAATTAGTTTTGGGTTAGTAGGTCAAATGCAGGTCCGAGTTTAGATCAAAAAGTATTGAGTCAAGTCAGTTATCGGTTAATATTGGGTTGGTTCGGGTAGGGTTATAGAGCATGTACCTGGCCTGGGTATTATTTTGTTATTTGGAATGCATATTTCTAGAGAAAAAATTTGTCAATTAGCTTATTTTAAAAAAATTAAAAAGAAAAGTTGTGACACTGATCTATTCGTTTCGAGTATGGATTAACAAACTTGAATTGTGTCCAATTAAAACTTTTATATTTCTAAGTATTTGATCGATTTTTTTTTTTTTTTATTTATATATTATCATTGTTTTTAACTGATTGACTTAAGCGATTGGTTTTAGTATTGACTAGTAAATTATACTAGTAAACCACTTTTTTAACTAACTAGAATATGGTATACTTAGGAAATTTTGTCAAGAACTGCTAATTAAACACGTGTTTTGAAAACAACTACTGATTAATTTTTTTTTTAAAAAGAACTACTACAAAGTTGTAAAAAGTTTAACTAGCACTACCTCTAACATGTAGGTTTCACTTTTTACCTTTACCTCATAAAATCACCATCTAAATTGACTAAATTACCCTCATAAAGGTAAAAAGCAGTAAAATGTGAGACCCAAATGCCGGAGATTCTAACCGAAATTGTTAGAGTGGTAGTGCTTGTTAAACTTTTTACAACTTTATGGTAGTTCTTTTAAAAAAAAAAATTACAAGTACTTTAATCGGTAATTGTTGACAAAATTTCCTACTTATAACAATGTTTGTTATATGACCTGAGTATCTGACACAAGCATATAATGTAGGTATAATACTAGTAATATTTTCTTATCTATGAAAAAAAAATCTAGAATCTTTATTATATATTGTGTCCGTAGATTTCTTTTTTATTCCCTTTTTTTTATTTTTATTTTTTTAACCTTTTTGATTAGATTTTTTATAAAAATAGTCATCAATCTTTTGTTTTATTCTTTTTATAGTAAATGAATTCTTACTTTTACCCCTCATCATCCGCTACATGGTCTACTATTCATGCAAACGAAATATTTTTTATTTTATTTTATTTTAATAATACCAATGTCTCTACACAACTTTTTCTTTCCTATCCAAAAAGTCGAAAAAGAATCCTACTTTTCACTAAGTCTCTCTCTTTACTTGGTATGTATAAGAAGCTACGAGTAGAAGTAAAAAAAAGAAAAAAGAAAAGAGAGTATTATCAGACGTTGCTTCAGCAAAACTACACTAGTATAGAGTATTTGGAGTTCCTCAAATATTTATAT